CTATTATATTTCAATAGATAACACATAAATATTTAAAATACTGTATAAATGATATCTATTATAAAACTTACCAAGACAATCGACCAACTCTAATGCTAAGGTTGAGAGCCTTTGTAATTTTTCATCGTTCCATTTTCCTTTGGATTTTGTTATACCGTGCGCATGGTGGTTCCTCGCCTCAATTTTAAAAGATTGAAGAACATCTAAAGGTTTTAATTTATATTCGCCATAAAACAGCGTTTGGTCGGAATGCGGAATCATAAACAAGGAAATATGTTTCGTAATGAAGTTTAAAAGACACAATATGTCTGCATCCGAAAAATCAATATTTCGCGGGGGGTTGCATTTAAGTGCGAATTCTTTTACTGTGTCAGAAGGAATGTAGTCCCGATTCTTTACAACAAATCTGAAAAGCGCTTTCTCGACATGCTCTAAAATTGGTTCCACATAAGAACCTTGTTTGGATGCCGAGAATGAAAACTTATGCGGAATTCGTGATAATAAGTTGTTCTCCTTCTCTTCTTTTACTTTCTGTCCATTTAGTGGATTTATTTCCTGAGCTTTTTTAATGTCTGTAGAAACTTCATGTTCACTCGCGATATTGTTTGAATTTTGCGTTTGTGCGGAACTTGTTCCATAAGAGATATTGTACTGAACAACACGAGCTTTTTTGAATATAGCTTGGTGTTCTTTAACAATCATCTTTAAATTTTTCTCCTTCTCTTTCTCAGAATTATTAACGTTAACCCACGCATTTAGAGATTCGTATTCTTCACGTACGGATTCGTCATTTTTCATCAAAGCTTGTAATGAAGACATCAAGGCCTGTCTTTCATTGCCTTTTTTTACGGGAGGTTTTAACTTAAGCAGATGTTCGATAGTCGCTTCAAATGTTTCCTTAACGTTATCCTTGAGATTTCCTTTGAGCCACTTTGATAGTTTAGTCATTGTAAAAAATATTGCGCGTAACGTCGATGGTCGAACGCGATAATTCTTGGCGCGTAATTTTATACAAGATCTCAGGTGACTATTAGAAGAAATCTGATTGGTGCATCTAAAATTATCCAACTTTAATCACTAGACCCGTCTTACCGTTAATATCATTTTAGTACTTTGGCATAATGCAATTTTTCCCTTCCGCGAAGCCGAGAAATACTCTTCGTGTTTCGGTAGGCGGGTAAAACTGAGTAATGCTTCTGGCATTTAGTCGGTGTTGAGAAGCCGAGAAACATTTCTATGTTTCAATAGGTGGATCGGGGCGGTTGCCAGGAAGCCGAAAAAACATGTGCAAACATGTTTCGTAGGTGGAGAAGCCGAAAAAACATGTGCAAACATGTTTCGTAGGTGGAAAAGCCGAAAAAACATGTGCAAACATGTTTCGTAGGTGGAGAAGCCGAAAAAACATGTGCAAACATGTTTCGTAGGTGGAAAAGCCGAAAAAACATGTGCAAACATGTTTCGTAGGTG